AGGTTCTAGATGGTTATGTCTATCTCATTTTTCGGTCCTAGTGAAACTAACTCGAATTTGAATTATCGTAAACACCCATTGACTATGATTGGTCAATATCTTATGGCTTAAAGCTTACTACACCTATTGTAGATCCGGCCTAATGCTCTCTCCAGGTCCTCCATGACCAAGAGCCTTAAAAGACGATCTTGAATATAAGAACGGACTATGAATACCGCCCTAGGTTTAGTTAATCGTTTTCGATATAATCGTGGTAAAAATCAATCAGTATTACCTTTCGTTTAAACTCAGGTTTAACCGAAGGTTTGTTAACTGCTGATTAGGTAAAGTTGGTAGAAACGGGCCTCAGTGGGCTAAGGTTAAGTTAGATTTAGGTTAGGATTCCAGTGGGTACTGTTAACTACTGTTAACGTCAAAAATAACTGTCTTTCGACAAAGGCATTTATCTTGATCAGATGAAAGCATGTATTCCACAAAGACACCGACTCTTCGTATCGACGAGGCTGACTTGAAATGTAAAAACGGTTGTGGATTTTATGGCAATGCAGAATGGGAAGGTTATTGCAGCAAATGTCATCGGGAACATTTACAGAAACGACGGGCTCAAGCTGAACGCGTATCTCACACGCAAATTTCTGACACGTAATATTTTTTAAATTTCGCGTACGTTATCTCACTCTTTATATTTTTACAAGTATCTTTTTAGAGAGAACACTAATCGATCGATAAATGCTGGAACTCACAAGTACTCTGAAGAGAAGAAAGTACAGCAAGAAAAGAAGTATAAACTATTAAACATTTCATTTAGAAAACCGGTTGCAAAAGGTATCTTACATCATATTATGTTATTGATAAACAATTTTTTGGAAGCATGCAAGATATTTATCTGGCTTTCTATTTTTTTGTACCAAGTTCAAGGATATCAAGAATTATATCATGAACTATTAAAGGATAACCCAGATCTTGAGAAAGTTAAAGCTGAAAATCGAGACTTACTATTATACATAGCTAAAACTCTAGTAGAAAAGGATGTGAGAAAATGCATACATTCATTTGTAGTAGATATACTCCAGAACAAAGATGTTAAAAGGATAGAAGAATTGTCAGAAATAACACAAAATTTTTATCTTGTGTTTGGAAAGCGTCTAGAAAATAGCACCAAATATGCAGGTATTAATTTACAACATATTATATTTATATATTATGCATAGGAGAAGAATTTTTCTTAATATACATTTGCAGACATACCTCCAGACATTAAAGAGAAGTTATTAGATTATGTTGAAAGATACGCAATGACTTTGTTATATAGAATTCTCTTTTGCCCTCCATTTACAACAGATGAAGAAAAAGACTTAGCTATACAAAAAAGGTTAGTATCATCAAATCATACTATTTTCATATATAACAAAAAATGTTAGTAATATATTATAACTTATTTTTAACAGGATACGACAATTAAACTGGGTTAGTGGTAAGAATTTGGAATGTAAGATTCATGAGACAAGCTCGGAAGTTAGGGAACTTGTTTATACATCCATTACAGGTTTGTTATACTAATCATTGTTATGAATATATTATAAACATTTGTCATTTAATACATTATATGTACATATTTTTTAGATCTTTTAAATATGGATTCTGCTAAGGCACCTCAAGAGAAATTGGCATGTGTTATTCATTGCTGTAGAAATATATTTTTATTATTGCAACAATCTGTCGATGGGCCAGCATCTGCTGATGAATTTCTTCCGGCACTCATATTTATTGTTTTAAAGGCTAATCCCGCACGTCTCAAAAGCAATATAAATTTTATTACGAGATTTTGCAATGCTAGCAGATTAATGACTGGAGAAGGAGGATATTATTTTACGAATCTGGTACAATTTATTAAATATATTTGATATCTTACGAATATTATATTATTTTGACTAATTATTTTTAATATTACAGTGTTGCGCGGTATCATTCATTGAAAACTTAACAGCAGAATGTTTAAATATGGCAGAAAAAGACTTTAATGCATATATGTCAGGAGAATGCGTTCCGGCTAATACATGGGAGTCGGCTCTTATGATATGCGAGGTAGTAATATATAGTCCTTCATATTAAAGATCATTGATTATTATATCTTCATGGAGATAATTTATTTTTATTATAGAGTTTGCACTTTATGTGTGAAGATATAACTTTATTGGATGACTTACAAGCTAAAAATATTGACATTATAAAGCAAGCAGAAGAATTGACAAACAAAATGATGGATTTCAAGGAGAAAATCAAAGAGGATATAAGTAAAGTGATTGAAAGGACCCCATTGTTAATATCACACAGTCAGAGAGTACCTACTAATTTAGATAGTGAAGATGTTGAGAGTTATCAGTTACCACCACCGATTATTCCACAGGTGAGACTAATTAACTATAATTTTAATCTTAATTATATTTTGTAAGACATGATTTGAAATTATTCAGCAGATATATCCGCACTCTATCAGCGATAACATGAATAGCAGCATAATTACAGATTTATCAAATGATTTAATGAGAACACCATTAGTAGAAGATTCTGTGACGCCGTCACCAACATTTGATTTTCCATCCTTCATCGGCGACGATAGTCTAGAGGTTAGCAAAGGCGAAGATGAAACTAGTCTTATCAGTTTAGATACTCAATCCGATCTTGCATCTGGCGAAACACAACTTTTTAAAAAACACATGACAGATAGTTTAATAGACGAATCCCCTACACCCGAAACAAATCTACCACCCGCATTGAGACCGACTAGCTCTGAAGATTATCATGGTTTCACAATTCAAGGATCAAATATTCCAACAATCCCATGTAATACAGGTGATTTCTCCATAACTCCAGCAAACTTAGATTCAGATAATTATTCCAATTACTATCAAAACATGTAGTATTTATTATAAAAATATAATTTAAATATTATTTATGTTAAAAATATTTAATAAAGGATTTTAATTATGATAGTAGTTAAATCAAAAGAAAATTTTTCAATAATATAATCAGTCTTTGATCAACAATTTTATTAATTTGTCTGTAGGTGTTTGCATGTAATTTTATTATACACATGGAACAAAATAACGTGTGATATTACATATAACCAAGAAAATTAAACAAAACTTAATGTTATGTTAATAGTTATTTTCCTGTAGAATCATAAAGATCTCTTAAATATGCAACAAGAGGTGATGTGTGTCAGCTGACAATTTTTCTGTGATAAAATCTTTCACTTGATACTTATTTGATCTAATATTCTTATGATAAAAATAGTACAAATAATATTCAATATAAATTGAATAAAAAATTATTAAATATATTTTGATACATTACATATTAAATGTATGTTTTTCGATGTTATTTCAGATATATTTCCAAGTGAGGGTTTATGTCTTGAATTTTAATTACATCAATTTCATCACATATTAGATTATCTCGTAAATCTAACTTCTTCAAGTTTTTATGCCGTTTTATTGAGTTTAATATCTCTTCTGTGCTCACTAACTTATTATTTCTCAAAGAGAGAACTTCAAGGTTATTTAGAGTAGGAAAACGTTTTAATGATGTTAAGTTATTGCTAGATAATGACAACTTCGTGCATCGTTGTAACGTAGAAAGTTGATGCAAAGAATTTCCTAATTGGTTTGCACCAAGGTTTATTTCTTCAAAGAAGGAAAAGTAGTGATTATTGTGCAATTTTGTTAAGTCTAATCCTGATAAATCAATCCTTGATTGCATTTCCAAATTACTTTCTTCTTTCCATATTTCAACCAATTTATATTCCACTAAAAATTTGCTTCCTACAATTACAAATAATATTGACATAAGCATGATTATAACTAAATAAAAAATTTTTGAATAGAATTACTAAAATCAAGAAACGTGATTAATATAGTTAAATATAAATATATACTTACGTAAATCTTTGTAATAATTTTTACGAAGACAATCAATTTTTGACAGTGCGGTCAAGTTATTTAATATCTTGGTATAAAATTTTTCAAAATCAATCTTCTTCATTAATAATATACCAGTTAATAGGGCCCACTTATTATTTGGTTCCATTTTGGAAAGCTGGTTATAGCTCTTTAATTGTTCATTTAATTGTTCATCATTGTTACTTTGTTTAGGCAAGTTTAGATCATCTTTATAAAACCATACATTTTCTAAATTTGAATACGAAAGTTGATACATTGTTTCTTGCAGCTTTATAAAAACTTCTTTATCATGATTTAAGTTTTCCAATGGGCTGATAAATTTTCCAATTCGTAATTTGGCAAACTTCTCATCTGGATATAATTTCCATTCTACATCAACAGCTTCATTATTCACAAATAAAGATATTGAAACTGGTTTAATCAATATATTGTTATCAATAACAATTGTAGCTGTATCCTTGTTGATATGAGCACGCCACAATTTACAATTCATTATACACTTATCTAAAAGCCATCTTTGATAAAACCATGCGCTAGTGTCGTTGGGATCAGTAAATGTTGCATTCATGACAAGATCAAGCTCTGAAAAATAATTATTTCAAAAAAATAAAAAAAATGCTGCAAAATTATTTTATAAAAGGATTTACCTTCTCTATACTTTTCATCTATAATTGGTATCTCTTCTGATGGAGTGCCAAACATTTTGGATAATATACGACTTCTATAATGCCAGGAAGAATAATTTGAAAAGTTATTTAATATTTTTTTAGTGGAAAACTCAAATTCTTCCTCATTAGAGATTCTAGCTTTTTGTACAACAAATTCTCTATAGTCCCAGCAGTGAACTACAGTAAAAAAAAAGCATCAAATAAATTATTGACAGATCAATATTCTAAGATTGTTAAATATATATCTTTAGTGTAATGCATGTTAATAAAAAATATAATATATTAACAATTTCTTTCATCTAGATTTAGACATTTTGCACACAGTGACAACTCTTTCTTCCAATCAGATTCAGGCATCTGTTTCATTACCCAACATCTTTGATGCCATACACTATAGGATTTAGGATTTTCTCTTAGACAACTTTCTGTCAAGCTCATTTCAGTTTCAAGCAATTGTTTATAATCTTCTTCATTCCTGTATTTCATTATAAAATCAATTTTTATTAATTGTTTTAATCAAGCATTAAATTATTAAAATGTTACCATTTATTATTTTCAAAAGCTTCACGACGAATATTCCATAATGTGTAAATATCTGGATTATTAAGCAGCATATGCTTAGTAATTAATAATAATTCATTATCCCATATTTTATCTTTCCTCTGAAATAAAAATAATAATAATCATGAAATATAAACATTACATATTGAATACCATGTTATATTTAAGAAACAAATCAAACCTTTTGAAATACTGTGACAATGTCAGCCTTATATTGGGCAACTTTAGCTGCTTTTTCTTTTTTCTTTATTTTCTCTTGTTCTGCTGTAGTACGCACTTTTACTCGACCATGCTAAAAATATTTATAAATTGTATTAATTTATATATATATTACAGTGATAAGATACTTGGTCATAATTATGCATATATTAACATGTTCTTGAAAAAATACTTGTTTGTGAAGCTTATTTATTTAACGTGCAATAAAACAATATTATAAATGTTTATAACAATATATGGTTAATAAATTGATTTGTAAAAAGTAATATAACAGAATCGCTTTACCATCGTGAATATTCTTTTATTAATTATATATCAACTGTGTTTCTTATTTTTTGAGGTTAAATTCCTTTAACCATAGACTAAAAGTATCTTTTCACGTTGACGCTCGATGTTCAATAAGTTTGTTCTTTATTGCTGAACTTTCTGCACTAGTGTACACTAGTGACACCAAAGCGTTCTCTATGGGTGTTTTCCAACAAGTTACACAGATGACACAGTGGGTGTTTACGATAATTCAAGTTCGAGTTAGTTTCACTAGGACCGACAATGAGATATACATAACCATCTAAAACCTTTATGATTCATGACAACTCGACGCTGTCTTGTATTGGGGGTGTTTACGATAATTCAAGTTCGAGTTAGTTTCACTAGGACCGAAAAATGAGATACACATAACCATCTAG